CTAGGCTGCAAACACAATACAAAAATACACAAAAAAACATTATAAAACCATTAAAGGTAAACAAATATTTTAGTTTTTGTTCGCGTAAAATGTTTTACAAAATTCAGTTTTAATTTTAAAATTTCATTGAGTGTATGTTATTTTGTTTATTTTCTTACTGTTTAAAAATTGCCATTCCATATTTTTGTTGCTTTTTCCGAGGGTTTTTAGTACAGAATTGTTCAACAAGTCGTCCAAAAAAGCATCAGACACTTCGGCAAAAGTGCCAAAACGCGAATTTTCCGCCATTTTGAATTTTCTATTAGTAGGCTATCACTAATAGCCTACTAGTAGCGTAGCCAATCAGAAGGCACGAAATGTGATAGCCTACTAGTAGGTTTATACTAAATATCAATAGTCAAAGAAACAACAAATTAAAGAACAAATGAACGTAAATACATGAAATATTTTATTGTTAAAACGTTATATTAAACACTGGCTACACTGCAGTTACTTAAAGCGAAAGTTTTAATTACGTACTAGGCATGTCCAAAGGTCGCATCTTCACGTGATGGCGCACGTGATTTTTTTTTTGTTATTCGCCGGTCGATAACGTATTATCTCCCTCTCGCGCTGTTGCGAGGGAGACAGCCTAATTTCGTCACTCTCACGTGATATGCTCTCAACCAATAAAACACTAGAAAAATGCGACTTTGACTATTGATATATAATAATGTATATTGACTATATTATTCGTTGCCTTTATTGGCCCTTTATTAGTTTATTCTTTAATATACTGGACTTCAGATTATTAGACTGGTTTTTAATTTTTATCTGTCAACATCAGCATGCAAGCAAGCAAACGTTGCTTTTTCGAGTGTGACCGCGACGGCAGCTTGGCTTACATTCTAGCATGAGCTTCGTATGTGTTCAAGCAAGTAACGCTAATCCGGTGGTGGTAATCTCCAAGCACAACTATGACGTAACACTGGATTTTATGGCACGGTAGATTGGACAAATCGATGATTTGTCTAATAGATGATCATGTGCACATTTAATACGATGACTGTACACGTTTAATATGATTACAGTGTACATTTAATATGATAATGATCCTATGATTTGATGATCGTACACCTTTGATTTGATAATCGTACACCTTTGATTTGACGATTGCACACCTTTGATTTGACCATCGCACACCTTTGATTTGATGATCGTACACCTTTGATTTGACGATCGTACACCTTTGATTTGACGATTGTAGACCTTTGATTTGATGATTGTACACCTTTGATTTGACGATTGTATACCTTTGATTTGATGATTGTACACCTTTGATTTGACGATTGTACACCTTTGATTTGACGATTGTACACCTTTGATTTGATCGAAGGCCCGTGAACTTTTAACAGCGGTTGTACAAACACAACCATCTAGCGCTTCAATTTTGGCAAAATGGCGTCCCCAAAAGATATTTTGCGGGATTGTGCTAAATGCCATGGGCGTACGGGAAGCAAAAAATTAGGGAGGCGGAAAGAAATTTGCCCGACTTTTTCGGATTGTGCCCGAGTTGTCAAAAAAATTTTCCGGAGAAACTTTCCAAAAGTGTTGTCGACGGGGGGGGGGAGGAGTGCTTACGAAAATTTCCTATTAGATAGCATATTTCCCACAAAATTGACAGAATTTCCCACAAAATTGACAGAATTTGTCCCTTTTATTTTTTTAATAAACCAATATTGCCCGACTGTGAAGCGAATATTGCCCGACTGGCTTTGTTTGCCCAACAAACTGGGGGGGGGGGGGCTTGCCGCCCCCCTCGCCCGGTACGCCCATGCTAAATGCTAATAACATTTTAAGATTTATACAAGGTAAGCGATTATTAGTGTATTTGCTATCATTCAATTGTTTATGTGAAATTCTTTAAGGTGATGACTATTGTTTATACACGGAACAATTTTTAATGCAAATCGTTGTGCCGGAAAATTAAAATTCCGTGTTTATTATAAATATTTAATAATAATACACGTGTTACAGTCAGGCCTTAAAATATCGGTCGGTCACGGACATTGTCCGACCCATTCGTGAAATTGTCCGACGTAGAAAGGAAACCACCGGACATTCTGTCCGACCTAAGTGAAACTGAGGTTTATTGTTTGTCCGACCCAACTCACCCGAGTGTATTGGTGTCCGACCGAACTGTAACTTTGTCCAACGTAAATCAAAATGTACCCTAGCCCAGGACAAGAAACTTGTGTGTTAAATGGAAAATCAGAGTACTATTGTATAAAAGGTCAACTGGAAATGTTGTTTTAACGTAGTCGAGCACGGGCAAATGGTGAAGTGGAAAACGGGCTTAAGTTGTCGAAGTCTTTTTGATACTGCTGTTCTGGAAAGCAAGTTAATTTTGGCTTGGAAATAAGTATGAAAGAAACAAATTATTTAATATTTTTACAACATTTACCGTTTATTCATTTGGGTCATTCAGACTTATTTCCGAGTCAAAAATGAACTGAAGGTCATCGGACATATGTCCGACCCAAACTCAACGTCACCGGACATTTTGTCAGACGGCCCTGGAAAAGATATTTTAAGGCCTGAAGTTACATTAACATTTGCATATTTAAAAGTCGTCATTCCATGCAACATTAATTTTAGGGATTGTTTATTAAGTCATGTAGTAAAAAGTGAAAAGTAATGCTATTAACCTATACAGAAAGTCCTCTTTATTGTTTTCTGTACATAAATTCATCTCTATATTGTACCTATAAAAATACCCGTCGCTCTTTATTGTGCACAAATGTGTTCAGTTGTTCAATTATCATAAAACCACTATTAATAAACGAGGGAGTGATGTATCTTTAACAGAAAGTATAATAAGGCTATTTGGATTTAGGGTTTGGATACCAGGATTAAGTAAATATACGCAATTTCGGCCATTTTTCGATTGCGAAAATCGGTCCTCACAGCCGAAACATTTTTTCCCCTTTTTTCATAAACAAAAGAGTATTTTTAAAAACTAACCACATAACGTTTCTCACTTCACCATAGTCAACTTATATTCAAACGTAGAGCGAATTTAAAATTTTGAGCCTTGCCACATATTTCTCATTTTGTTTGATTTTTGTAGACAGTCGCTCTTAAGACCTTTTAAGCCACCGTGTGTGCAAGTGGTGGACCTTTTATGAAATACTGAGGGGGCTCGTGCCAAAGGCACAGAAAATTTTTAAATTTGAATCCCGGAAATGGCATTTGCAGCATTCTGACACACGCATAATCAGAAAACCCAGAATTCCGGGCGCCAGAGTATGCCTGTTCGCAGGTAGTGCTATGAATAATATAGTTAACAACAAAAATCATGACCAAAGACACCGAAAACGGATCAAAATTATATTTTAAAACACTTAAAATGTAGAAAAATTGGGAATCGACTCGCATTACCTCAATCCCATTCCCATTTTTGAGGACTCATTTCCCATTCCAAGTGGCCAAATCCCAGTCCCAGCAACCCAACTCCCATTTTCCCAGTCTAAAATTAGATCAATCCCAGTTCCCATTTTACCCCTTCAGGACCCTCTATGACTACAATCGTCAAATCAAAGGTGTACAATCGTCAAATCAAAGGTGTACGATCATCAAATCAAAGGTGTGCGATCGTCAAATCAAAGGTGTACGATCATCAAATCAAAGGTGTACGATCGTCAAATCAAAGGTGTACGATCATCAAATCAAATCAAAGGATCATTATCATATTAAATGTACACTGTAATATATTAAACGTGTACAGTCATCATATTAAACGTGTACAGTCATCGTATTAAATGTGCACATGATCATCTATTAGACAAATCATCGATTTGTCCAATCTACCGCGCCATAGGATTTCAATAAAGTTTAATTAAATTAACTATAAATTTAATAAACGCGCGTACGTATATAGCTACAAATACCTTGAAGTTAAATTCAGCTTTGGTTTACTTCGTGTCTCTGGGCTGCTCCACCTTTCTTCTCCAGACACTAGCTCACAGTTTTCTTGAGAATTCCGTTGGTGCACATGCATGAATCTTTTGTCACTAATTGATAGAATTAATTACTGGTCATGAGATGATGGTCTCAGGACGTGCCAGGCACCTCTATTGTAATAGTATATTGTCCAAATATCAGTGGATTTTGAAGTTCAAAGTTCCATACAGCCTGATACAAGCAATATTGCAATCATATTTTATATTTCAAAATCAGAGTAACGTACACATCAAAACAAACTTTAAAAGTTTTAAAAAGCGGCAACATTGTGCAGTTCTAACAAGAGGAATAAAAGACAATTCAAACACAATTAAAAAAAGACAAAACAACGATAACTCTGAAAAGGAACATTTTTAATATAGTTCTTTTGAATTGAAAATGTTCCTGTTCGGAGTTGTGTTTTGTTAATTGTGTTTGAACTATCTTTTATTTTTTAACTTAGTCTTAGAATTGCACAATGTTGCCGCTTTTGCGTGATATAGGCTCGGTGATCACTGATCACGGCAAGACTATATTCACTTCGCTGCTTCGCAGCTCAGTGAATATGTAAGAGTTAATTACCGAGAAGCGAGGCATTTAGCCATATACAGCCCGAGGCGCGTAGCGCCGAGGGCTGTATATGGATAAATGCCGAGGTTCGAGGTAATTAACTAACTTATTACATGATTGAGAAGGTTTTCACAAAACAGCTCTTACGCTTGTGGGACGTAACACAAGGCTGAGTATGCGCTCTATATACGCTTTAAAATGTGGTCAAGCATGCGCAGTATATCATTTCACGTCCCACAAGCGAAAGAGCAGATGTTACTGTATAAATTCCCTGCACAAGCAAGTTTGATGGTTGATCCAGCTAGTCCTCGTGCGCCGAATGATACATACTCTTACCTAATGGTAGAGTTTTGACGGGCTCTGAGGCTTAATCTACTGAGGTACACGGCTGTTGTCTCTTTCCCGACTGGAGACGGTACAGCGTTTATCGAGTTGGGAAAGAGACTAACCTCTCATTAGGTACTTACCCAGATAAGTACATCATGAATATAGTTTTAGTGAGGTATTTATCTAGATAAATACCTCATTAAACTATTCATGAGGTATATATCTAGTTAAATACCTCATGAATAGTTTAATGAGGTATTTATCTAGATAAATGCCTCATTAAACTATTCATGAGGTATTTAATACATAATTATTCAAGTGCAATATAGATATATTGCACTCAAACTGAGTGCAATATACATATATTGCACTGGAGCTCAGCGCAATATACAGATATTGCACTAGAACAGCTAATTAGTAATTCAATTCATCAGCCCCACTCTTCCCTGCTGAATATCAAATCCCTCCCCGGGCTTTTATATACTTGAAAGACATTATGGAAAATAAAGGTCTATGAATAACAAAGAAAACCGCGTCAATCATGTAATAAAGGCTTGTAATCACCTCGCCTTCGGTGACTATTGTTAAATAGAGGAGCCTGGCACGTCCTGATACCATATCTCATCTACGTTTTTTTATTATATATGACATTGTAGGCCTATACGTTTGTAAAAAAATGGGGGGGGGGGAGTCACGCGAAGGCAAAGTACATGCAACGTCCGAAATATTTGCAAAATCTTGGTTAGTGAAACTACGTACTCTATAGCCCGCGTGCAGGCCCAAGGGAACTCATAGTGGGCCTGCAAGCAAGGCCCGGTATTTTGTAAAACGCCCCTTTTCATAACACGCCCCATTCGCGCGTCAATTGTCAAAAAAGAACCAATGACAGCACCCAAGTATTAACAAACAAACTCGCATTAAAATATTGCGGGGTTTTCTCTGCTTATTCAGAACATAAACAATGTGTAAATGGCTGCGTTTTAACTCCAAAAAAGCAAGCAACGTAGTCAGTAATTGCCAAATTTGCAAGTGCTCATTTTCAACTAAAATCGGAACAGGCAGTCTCAAACTTCAAATCGTCAGGGAAGTCGTGCGACCACATTGGCATTTATAAGGTGTACTTCGCTGTCGCCATTGTTTAATATAAATAAATTGTCTCACTTATCAGATCGTGTGTGCAATTCTTGTTGGCGGCGGAAAGTACGAAATTTATTTCAGTTATTTCATTTGGTATAAAAGAACTCTATAAAAGAAGAGAGCGTTCAGAGTCCAGATCGTTTCGATCGTTTCGATCGTTAATACCGTCTTCTGTTTCGCTCTCTCAGCGAAGCCTTGTAAATCGCAAAGTGTTTCGAATATAGGCTTACATGCAACTGCATCTCAACATCAACCAAAAGATAATTTTCTTGAGGAGCATATAACGTATCAAGTCTGTTTGAAATTACACGTAATGAAACTCAAGTAAAGGTTACTATAGTTTACCCCAGTCGTAATGTTGCTATTCCAACACCTCACGACAAGCAATCCCAATTGGCATAACGGCAAAAACATCTCTTCCTTCAAGTAAACAACTAGGGTACCTGCAAGGTAGGGATTGCTGCGGGCATTAAAAGCAAATAGAACTACAGTAAAAAGCACAAATTATATCAAGCACAGTGATTACTCGCAGCGTCTAGTGAGCTGTGAATGGAACTGAGAAGAAGCAATATACATTGAAATAGCAAGTGTCATGCAAGTGTCAAGAGTCATGCAAGCAAAGACCAGGGGTTAAAGGGCAATCAGAGGTGACATATATTAAACATGTGCGTCTCATTGACATACAGAAAATTAAGGATCAGATTTCATATCAAGTTCTGTTTAATTATGGTTTAATGCTAGGCGCATCTGACTATACCACATTATATAGACTATATACACAGATTTATCACACTAAGGAACCAAAACTTGATAAGAATATAGAACTGATAGTGGCCAAAGTCCAAAACAAATGTAAGCGTAAGTTGCGTAACATTAGATCGACTTGAAAAAGCTTTAGAAATTCGATAAAAATTCGAAGACTCGAGCGAGTTTAAAATTTGTGTTCTGCGCGTAGAAAGCGCGCACGACCACAATTCCATGCGCTTAATAAAATTTAGTTCAAAACCCCCTCTCTGCATATATTAGGCTGCTGCTACGCTCGCTCGCTTCAGGCTCGCTCGCTCCGCAGCAATAAACAGTCTGTTCTTATTCCATTTATAATCGAAAAAAGTGATCAATTTTCGAATTTTAAGCTTATCGAGAGCCTTTGTGATGAATCACTGACCTAATTATAGAATCCAACAGCAAACAGCCAATCAGAATGCCGCTTTCGTGGGCGAACGCGGAAAGTACAAAATACCGAGCCTTGCTTGCAGGCCCACTATCAGTTCCCTTGGGCCTGCACGCGGGCTACGTACTCTACAGCATTTTTTTATAGTTTAGAATACTATACTATATAACAGAGTTCTGGATAGTATTTCAAGAAAAAGACGAGGTATTTAGTATAGTCATTTAATCAAAGACAACAAATATGTAATGAAAACAATAAAATGGGGTAGCAAATCTTCGAGTTAAGCCCCTTGAGTTAAGCCCTTCGAGTTAAGCCCCGACCACGCCCTTTCGAGTTAAGCCCCGACCACGCCCATGTCACACCCATTTCCGTTGATGGCTTAACTCGAAGTACATAACTGGAGTTAGGTACTTCGAGTTAGGCCCTCTAGAAAATAGGAGCTTAACTCGAGCAAAGTCAAATATTTTGTTCTTCGAGTTAAGCCCCAACGTTTGAAAGATGTAAACGAGTTACGGTTAATCTGATCCCAAACAAATCAAATTATCATTTGGATCGCGTTTCGTTCAATCACGGTTATATTTAATAGGGACTTCAAGATTGACGTTTATGGCAAACCTCTAACCGTAAACGGCAAACTTGAAATCGTAATTTGAAGTCGACTGTTAGCTGTTCGAAGTTAGAGCAATTTGTGCATAAAAATTGGACTATGAATTAGCTACTTTTAGCTAATAAAGGATTAAAGATTGGATTGACCTTTTCTGCCGTAAAGGTCAATCTAAGGTGGTCTTCCACTCAAAATTGAAAAAAGTTTAAAACTAGGTTAAAATTATATATTTTTGTACCCCTTGGAAGGTAAAGTGACACTGAATAAAATTATGTTTGCGATACACATGTTGTTGCCATGGTAACCAGGTTGGAGGCCCCCAACTGTGAAAAACGGCCATGTTTTGTGCAAAAGATAACTTAAGAACCAGTGGTCTAAAATTCTCAAAAAAAGGCTTAAAGTGTACAGAAAAGGTTGCTGTATGTTCTGAACCACAAAAATACTCATATATTTTATTACAAGTAAAAATATATGTGAATTTTCCTAACAAATGGAGAATTTTGCCCGAGGCTAACAACAACATGTCAATCATTTACTACAATTATGGTATTTTTGTCATTTTTGTTGGTTCAGAACACAAAGCAATATCAGAGCAAGCATTTGTGAAAGTTTCAAATAATTACTACTAGTATTTCTTGAGATATCCTTTTCGGAACAATGCGGGTTGGCCAAATTTCTGAATTGGAACAAATCACGTTTCAAAGTTTAAGATAATATGTGGGCTCACTTATCTAGATATCCCTCATAATTGGAGCTCATTTTCAGTAAAAATGTTTGATGCAATCTAAAATGAGCCACATGCATAAGTTTCTCCCTCCTTTTCTTCATCCTTGTCCCCCTTTTTCTTCTTCCTCCCACATAGCACTTTTCTCGGTCCGCAATCTTACAATATCTTGTTCCTTATAGTCTGTCTTTTTACTTATCATATCGTCATATCGAGAACATTCAGCTTCACATTATTTCCCAGGATTAATGCCAATGTTCTTCAGAACTTGAATAGAAGCTTCACATCCAACATTGAAGTGGGCAATAGCATCATGTACTCCACGTTGCAGTACGTCCGAGCCGACAAATGTTTGTTTTGGCAACCGTTCCCAAATCATACCTTCAGAGACTCATTCTGATTTTGAGTCTTGCCATCTAAACACCTTGACAAAAGGCCATCATCACTTAGCCTCTCAAAAGTTGGTTTTAATTCCACAGTAATATCCACAGGAAGCCAGCTCCATGTTTATATTCACTAGTCTTAATTGCTTTGTCTGACATGTAACTGTGAATATGGAGTTGGTCGAGGAGGAGGTGGCATGTTCATCAGACCACAAAACCGTTTTGCTGCAGCATGACCACAACCAATGGAACTTTATATAATAGTGCATACACAAACCTCCTGTTTACTTCAAAAAAACGTGATGTCTGACTTGAGGTAAAAAACTGCTTATTCCAACCACAAGAACAACAAAGTAGCTGAAGATGGGAGGCACACCCTATTCCTTTTAACCCATTTCGTTCAAAGTAAGGCAACTGGCAACATTCATTGCATTCTTTGCATGGTAAAATGCTATATAAACACATGAAAAAATTGTCATATCAACACACTGAATCCCACTTACGATTAGTGTACCCGTAAATATTCCGTCATCAGCAACCTTTTGTGGCTTTGAAGGATTTATTTTCCTAGCTGATAGTCGTTTTCGTTTTGGCTGTTCATTTAATATGGCCGACATGATTCACCACAATTCTCCGACGCGTTTCTTTGACGTGTGTGTTGATTACCATAATAATTTCGCTTTCCCGAATAACCAGATCGAGCACGTCGGCTAAACTATTCGTTGCTAAGGCGGTTGCTAAGGGAAAAATGGCACATTTGTTCAGTATTTCCCATTTTTTTCATATTTAACGAAGAAATACCGTTAAAAAAGCTTTACAACATGAAAATATAATAAATAGGCATGACAATTTTGCTATTTTCAAAAAAGTGAAAAAAATCAAAATTTTGAGTGGAAGACCACCTTATTAAAAAATTAATTAAAATATCAAATTTTATACCGGTGTCCTAAAAAACACCGGACTCTGTTTGATTTCATGTATAAACGTAAAAGCTATCGCAATGAAATAAAGATCATTGCATTCATAATGGACCAACTTAGATTTTGATATATAAAACACTTAAATTTACATGCAATATTGTGCGATATACAACCAAAATAAATATATTTATTATTTAACAATTATAACTACATATTCAGTAATTATAATTAATCACGAATGTGTCATTTTAATTTAAAAATGAGCTCAGGGCTGGTTATGATAATTATGCATACGCAGGTACGCTATTGAAGTTCAATTCATAACTTAAGTCCCAAATAGTAAAAAGAGTTAATTTTCAATAATTTTAGATCCAATTCTCAACGGTGGAAATAAGCACTTTCGGTGGAAATATGCACTTTCACACTACATGGTTCTTACAACTATTGGGGCAGGTATATTTCGAGTTAAGCACTTCGAGTTAAGCCCTCCGAGTTAAGTCCTTTTCGAGTTAAGCCCCTGCCACGCCCTTTTTCGCCGGGGGCTTAACTCGAAGTCAATTAACGATTTAAGCATTCGAGTTAAGCCCCCATATTTGATGGATGTAAACAAGTGACGCGTGTATACTCGCAAAAATTTTGGCATTTATATGTAAGGAGGGAAAATGTAAAATTTCAGCAATTTTAAGAAATATATTTTACTTAGATCTGTGTTGCTTTGCCTACAGTTTTATACAGACAATGACATCGTGAAACGAGAGAGCTCAATAAGGATTTGTAAACAACAGCTCATTCAGGGCGACTTTTAAAAATAAACAATATATAGCGGCACTTGCAGAACGCAAATCGTGGACATGTTCATATGGAGACAAGCTACCTTTCTAACCGATGTACTCGGCAACGACAAGATCTAGGACTAGAATATTATGTAAACTCGTTTTATAGTTTTCCGGTGACTATTTACATGACACAAGCGAGGAACTCATCTTGCCAAGAACTCGTCAGAGAGGGAACAGACAGGAAGAAATTAAAATTATTACAAGTGGATAACATACACATATTTCTACTAATTACCCAGGGCCGTAGGAAGCTCTTTTCGATTGGGGGGGGGGGGGCTGAAAGCGAGGGCCAAAGGCCCGAGGAAATTTTTAAATTTAGAGTCTCTGAAATACCATTTCCTGGACTTTGGGGAAGATTTGACAGAATTCTGATTGTCAGAAAACAGCGTTTTAGTATGTTGAAATTTACAATTTAGTAGTACTAAATGGACGAAGGCGTATTTAATTAACTATATATTAGATAAGTTGCAGGAAAATATGGGTAATATCTTCATTCTTTGCAGTTTTTCATGGATTAAATGATAAAGGTATGCATGATTTTGAAAAAAGAATGATTATTAGCAAATTATTGGGGGGGGGGGGCTGCAGCCCCCCAGCCCCCTCGGTTGCTACGGCCCTGTTACCAACGGCAAATAATAACCGAATCACAACAACGGTAAGCGAAACTAAAATATCACAATTATGTACTATTTGGATATTCTCAGAAATCAGAATATGATCAAGCATGAAGTTCTAGCTAGTAAAACCATTTTCTAACAAAACAATTGAGCATGATGTCACGCTGTAGTATTCATGTCCCCTACTTCGGAGAAGATATATATCTTAGAAAAGTAGCTCGCCTCCATATGAACATGCCTAAGATTTGCAAGTTCTGCAAGTGCCGCCATATATTATTTAGTTTTTAAAGCCGTAATTGCCGCCCTGACTAATGAGCTGTTGTTTACAAATCCTTATTGAGCTCTCTCGTTTCACGATGTCATTGTCTGTATAAAACTGTAGGCAAAGCAACAGTGACCATGATATCACCGGCATAACAAGAAAAATGAATTGTCTTAAATTCAAACCACGAAAGATAAACATAAGATCAATGGCCAACTGTAATGTTAGTCAATTTAAATCTGACTTGCGCGAGATCCCTTGGGAAACCCTAATTAATGAAAATGACGTTCAAGCTAGCTGGGACTTATTCAAACAAACCTTGACGACTATAATAAATCGACATGCCCCTTTGATAGAAAAGAAAGTAAAAGGCCGTGATTGCCCTTGGTTAACCCATGAAATAAAAGAGAAAATGAATGAGCAAGATCACTTGTTGAAAAAAGCCAGAAAGAGTGGGAAAGAATGTGACTGGTGTAATTATCGCAAAGCACGAAATAGTGTCACAAAATGTATTCGCCAGCATAAAGCAAATTATAATCGCTCAGTCTTTCGTGAGAACGTTAATAGACCAAAACAGTTCTGGGATCAAATAAAGAAATGCTACCCAACACGAAATAAGGGGGAAACCCCAAACAAGCTGTTTGACGTTGAAGGAAAACACATATCCGATAGCTATCGGATCGCTAATACTTTTTGCAACTTTTTTACTGGAATTGGTACATCCATTCAACAATGCTATGTCACATTAACGGAGAAACATCGGCAATTCCACAGCTATCGGAAATTGCAAGATCTTATCAACCCACATCATTGCGTTTTTAAGTTTAAGGAAGTGACTGAAAGGGATATACTGTCTATTATAAAAATGTTGAGATCATCAACAGGCTCAGGATACGATAATATCCCGATATCCTTTATTAAAGACGGTTCCCAAGAATTATCCACCCCACTTGTGTTTCTGATAAATTTATGCTTACGACATGCAGTCAATTTTCCCAGATGTAGAGAAATTGGCAAATGTTACACCAATTTTTAAGTCGGAAGACCGATCATCAATGGATAACTATAGACCAATTTCCGTCTTGCCTGCTCTAGCAAAGATTATTGAACGTGTCGTTCACAGACAGCTATCTATCTACCTTGAAGAAAACTGTCTACTTTCCTCCAACCAATTTGGATTTCGTAAAGGTCGATCGACTCAACAGGCAGTTACCTATTTCTCGGACCACATAAGGGATTGTATGGACAAAGGTGAATACTATGGCGCTGTCTTTATCGACCTGAAGAAAGCATTCGACCCCGTGGATCATGGTCGTCTACTGTCCAAATTATCTCACTACGGTATTAAAGATAAAGAACTAACATGGTTTGAGAACTATTTATTTGGAAGGCGTCAACGTGTAATCTACGATGGCACACAATCTGACAGCCAACCTGTCGTTTGTGGTGTGCCACAGGGTTCCATCTTAGGACCTATGCTGTTCATCTTATTGATTAATGACATCGATCACCAATTGAATAGCTGTAAAATCCTACTATATGCTGACGACACAGTGGTCTTCACATCCAGTAAAAATCAAGAAACCATTAAAGGAAATTTAAACACGGACCTATCAAAACTGGCCACCTGGTTTTACGAAAACAACCTAGTCGTCAACCTCAAAAAAGGAAGAACCGAATTCATCCTGTACAGTACACCTAACAAATTGTCAAAAGCCGAGAAAATGGATATTATGATTCGAAACGAACCGGTGAATGAAGTACAAGCGTATCAATACAAATATATTTTAGTCTTTAAACGTTATAATTTTGTCTTTTCGAAATAGCTTACATTTTGTTTACGCCGCCATCTTATCTCTCTCCCATATCCTACTTTATCCCACAGTATCCCTCAATGTATCTACTGTCCGTGACTAATCCTAAGTATCCTTATTAATCCTAACTTAAACTGTTCAACATAATATAAATAATAGTAATAAAGTATATCGGTTCATCATCAGTTTTCAGTTTTCATGAATAGTTTCATGATACGTATCTAAATGTATCTTGGATTGGGGGTCTTTTTCCGCTCGCTACGTCTCAGTGTTGGTGCAGTTTCTCCGCTTTTCTCAATCCCGAGATCTTCCGCCACGTCTCCTTCATCTCCTACTGGCCACTGAACATCTTCGACTTCGATATAGTTTGGTTCAATAAATGGTTTGACGTCATCTGGATGACGGCACAACGAAAACCCGTTTTCTTGATGTTCGACAATGTGTTTGTTTCCTTCGTCATTGATGTCGATGATTTTGAATGGTTCACCGAGGAAAACGGGATCAAACTTCCTCGATTTTTGGTAATTTCTAACACGAACCTTGTCACCAATGTTGAAATTTGATTTCTTCCTGTATTTAGAAGAGTTTATTTTTTCTTCGTTATCAGTTTTCTTTTGTTTGTCTGCTTACCGAGCTCTTCTTACGTCTTCTTCGGTTGCGTATGTTCTCGGAAAGTCGTAGCGCTGTCCATCTCGGAACATCATGGCTGCTGGAGGGATACCCGTTGCTGGGTGAGGTGTATGTCTATAGTTGTTTAGTGTTCTCTCCAATGTTTCTTTTTCAGGAGCCCTGGTTTGATATGCAATTTTCATGGCCTTTCCCAAAGGACGCATAAACGTTTCGACTGGATTGGAGGATGGGTGAAGTGGTGGAGCCTTCTGTAATTTGATGGACTTACTCGTTGCGAAGTCGTGCACCTGAGCGCTGTTGAAAGGAGGCCCGTTATCGGAAATTTGGACCTCGGGGTTTCCGTACGTTGCATAAATTTCGCTGAGAGCTGGTAAAACTTTGTCTGCCTTTGTCGATGTAACCAGTTTTGCTGCTGGAAATCGCGATGCTAAGTCTTGTACGACGACCACGTGTTTAGATGTTGGCATCGGGCCAAATATTTTTTTATTTTTTTTAATTTTTTTTTAAAATTTATATCTTATGACATATTTTTACAGTTTACTATAGTATACATTACAAATATATTTTAGTCTTTAAACGTTATAATTTTGTCTTTTCGAAATAGCTTACATTTTGTTTACGCCGCCATCTTGTCTCTCTCCCATATCCTACTTTATCCCACAGTATCCCTCAATGTATCTACTGTCCGTGACTAATCCTAAGTGTACTTATTAATCCTAACTTAAACTGTTCAACATAATATAAATAATAATAATAAAGTATATCGGTTCATCAAATACCTCGGAGTTAAAATGGATAAATCCTTAACTTATGTTGAGCACAAAGACAAGATATATAAAGAAGCTATGAGAAGAGTTAAACTCCTATCACGCATACGACGTGACATCAACCCATTGGTTCCGCAGTCAATCTACAAAACGATGATAGAGCCAATCCTTAATTTTATACTGCAATAATCTATTTCTGGGCGACACAGTCAGCTCGATCGAAAAATTCCAGAAAGTACAAGAACGAGCTTTCAAAATTGCTTATGGCAACAACATCCAAAATAATTGGACAAAGCTGGAAAAAATCCGAAATAAAGCTTGTGTAATAGAAGTGTTTAAATGGCTTGGCACCTCAATGCTATGATGGCTACTTCCAAAGGCATTCGGAATTTCCCATGGAAAAGGCACCCGTGGAGATAACAACAAACTGCTATTGCCAAAAGTTAGAACTGAAACTGCACGGAAACGATTTGCATTCCAAAGGAGCAGTTCAATACAACAAACTACCAGACAGTCTAACAAAAGAAACATCATTACTGAGATTTAATAAAGAACAATGTAACACTATTTTTAACTGTTAGAAAGTTAGAAGCGTTTCGTAAATTAGAAACATCTTACTTTTTATTGAACGCTATTCTTAATAACTATTCGAAACATTTCGTAAATAAGAAGCTTCACACTTTTTATCTATATAAACTTTTATTGTAAACACAGGTCCTTGATTTATAGCAGCTTAGTATAGCTGACCAAGTTAACCTGTAAAAATATAGTTAATTATTATTATTATTAACAGAGATCTAAGTAAAATATATTTCTTAAAAATGCTGAAATTTTACATTCTCCCTCCTTTAATACATATATTTGCCAATATTTTTGCGAGTATACACGCGTCACTTGTTTACATCCACCAAATGTCGGGGCTTAATTTAACTCGAATGCTTAAATCGTTAATTGACTTCGAGTTAAGCCCCCGGCTAAAAAGGGCGTGGCAGGGGCTTAACTCGAAAAGGGCTTAACTCGGAGGGCTTAACTCGAAGGGCTTAACTCGAAAAATACCTACCCCAAATTTACATGCAATATTGACTGCGCTATTGATGTTTGAACGTTGAACTACTGCTTTTGAAAATGCCAAAAATTAGCATAATACAACACTTATGATTGCTAATCAAAATCTAAGTTAGGCCATTATGAATGCAATGATCTTTATTTCATTGTGATAGCTTTTATAGCTTTTGCGTTACATGAAATCAAACAGAGGCCGGTGTTTTTTGGGACACCGGTATAAAATTTGATAAAACTTTAAGATTGACCTTTACGGCAGAAAAGGTCAATCTTTATTCCTTTATTAGCTAAAAGTAGCTAATTCATAGTCCAATTCTTATGCACACTAGCAAGCCGCTCTAACTTCGAACAGCAAACAGTTGACTTCAAATTACGATTTGAAGTTTGCGGTTTGCCGTACGTAAACGTCCATCTTAAAGTCCCTAATATATATAATACGTCGGCTGAAATAAAATGTATTGAACCGTGATTAAACGAAACGCGACCCAAATGATAATTTAATTTGTTTGGGATCAGATTAACCGTAACTCGTTTACATCTTTCAAACGTTGGGGCTTAATTTAACTCGAAGAACAAAATGTTTGACTTTGCCCAAGTTAAGCCCCTATTTTCTAGAGGGCTTAACTCGAAGTTCCTAACTCCAGTTATGTGCTTCGAGTTAAGCCCTCAACGGAAATGGGTGTGAAATGGGTGTGAAATGGGTGTGGTATGGGCGTGGTCGGGGCTTAACTCGAAAGGGCGTGGTCGGGGCTTAACTCGAAGGTCTTAACTCGAGGGGCTTAACTCGAAAATTTGCTACCCCCAATAAAATAAATCCTACATGCGATGACATATATTAATTGCGAAGAGTAGCCAATAATTAATATTTCCGCATAATGATGGATTAAAATATCATAATCAAACAGTAGACAAATAGTTATTGCATCGAGTTAGGATAAAACGCGGATGCGGACGGGTCAATGGATGGCGGACGGACGGACGGATGAATGGTGGACAGACGGACGGACGGATGACTGAAAATTACAAACTTCGCAAGGCTATATTATCCGCATTTTACAACTTTTCGCAATAAAACTTTGGAATATTACTAATTTTGTGATGCTCTTTCAAGCCGTGATGAAATGTTTGCTTAGGCTAGTTGAGACCAAAATTTTTGGAAAGTGGTAACCGTTTCCCGCTCGTAATACAAAATGACTGAAAATTGCAAATTTCGCAAGGCCATATCAGATCACATTTTACAACATTTCGCAACGAAACTTTGCAACATTACTAATTTTGTGATACTCTTTTATGCTGTGATGGAATTTTGTCTAGACTTGTTGCAACCTCATTCCCAGGGCTTTCTTATGAGGACGAGGCGAGGCACGAGAAAGCCCTGGTCTGGGCCGGTCAATCTTGCATTCTGATTGGCTAACACCATATTGTCTAAAAATAACTGAACTTGACAGTTGACAATATTAATAACAATTCAACATTTGTATTTTTATGATTCTTGTGTGTACGAGAATATATGTTTTGCAAAATAATCTTTCGAAGTAAGGCGTTTTCTCGACTGCATGATTTACTGTCGCCTCGGCCGGTTACAAAACTCAAAAGCCGTGTCGACGTGAGCTGTGTCTGTGATGTTTCCTGACAAAACAAGAAACGTCTACTATTATTTAAGCTGTAGTTTTCCTTGTACAGTATTTATAATGTAGTGCAGATGTCTGATGAAATACTACGCGTATTGCATTGTAGTAATATTCTAATTTACAATATTCTGTACTGACAAACAATTAAATGAAACTACTAAATTAATTTAGGCCCCGTTTAATACTTTATAATTAGTCTAGGACCTGTATATGAGTTTGTATGCATTTCATTTACCACAGGTAATCTCAACTATTTTCAAGGGTAAAATGACCATGGCGGTCAACATGGCATATGTGCCAAAACCTGAATCCTGGACGAAAGTGCTGAAAATGACCCCGCCCTGAAACGGCAGTGCCGACATAGCTCTAACTTCCGAAAAGCAAAAGCGACAGCCTTTCTGAAGTGCTTGTAGTGTTTAGAAGGGTTGCTTTTAGGGGTGGTTATTGGAAGGAAAAATTTGTGTAAGTATAATATTTTACAAGAAAATGACCATTTATCACCCCAAGTAAATTGCTGATTATGCAGAAAATAACTAATATACATGGCAGAAATTGAATATCCTTATTTCCTAAAACAAATTACCATGGGATGAAAAACTATGCTTAATTTAATATAATTATTGTAGTTTTCATAAGGATAGTCACTGTTTTCTATAAATATAATATATTTTATTTCACTTACCCCCCACGAAAACACGATTTCAGCCATATTTTGCCGTCTTGTTTGCTTTATATCACTGTGTCTCGCAAATAACATCCAGTTGTTGTACTTTTACATAATGGCAAATGGCTAAAGAAGATTTCAACCAAATTTCGGCAAGTTTTGGAGCAGTGCAGTGTATTTTATCTTCGATATTGTGTCCTTCGATATTTCGTCCATATGCCGCCATTTTAATGGCTCGCCGATTCTCTGCCCGATAAA